ACCTGAGGGGCGGTGGGCTTGGAGGATGTGTCGAGCGCCGCGGCCGTTTCAGAGCGCTATGGAACGCTCTGCAACGGCTTCATTTCGAACTTAGGCCCGTCCGGCAGGGGCCTCCGGAGATCACCAGAGACGTCCGGAGATCTCGGCAGACTGACCAAAAAAGGACCCCTAATCCTCTGGGAGGGGGCCTGAGTTAGGAGGGCCAGCGCTCTTTCTGCAGATGTATCGAATCAAAACGTCCAGATGTACTATCCCTAATGCAAAGACGTGGACCTCAGTGAGGCCACGTCTTCACTGTCTCATCAGGGCTAGGGGTTCTTGTGTTTAGCAAAAGGGGGGAACAAAACGCCATAAACTAAAGCTTTTGGCGCTCCGCGCGGATTTCTTGGATCAGCGCTGGGCCCCCCCTCCCGGCGGCGCCTCTGGCGCCGCCCCTGGCGCGCCAGGGAAGGGGGTCGAAGCGCGGATCCAAGAAGTCCGCGCGGAGCGCCAAAAGTTTAGGCTATGGCGCTGTTCGACCACACCGCCCAGATGTATCATCCCTGATGCAAAAAGACGGGGACCTCAGTGAGGCCACGTCTTCGCTGTCTTAGTAGGGTTAGGGGTTCTTTTCTTCTCGAGGATCGGTAGGCCTCTGGGGGGCCCGTCTCAGACCCGTCTCAACGCCCGCGCCCGCCCAGCCATGTGGGCCCGGGGCCGGTGCCCAGGGCAGGGCCAGCGCCCCCCGAGCCTCAGGTCCCGCTGCCGCTGCGCGGCGAAGGCCGCGAAGCTGCGGGCCCCAAGAATATACACCACCACGTCGATTCCTCCACCCTCATCTTTCCTCCTCCTTATCTTGCTCCTCGCCCTCCTCCTCCTCCTCCTCCTCCTCCTCCTCCTATTCCTCCTCCTCCTCTTTCCACTTCTCCTCCTCCTCCTCCTCCTCCTCCTCCTCCTCCTACCTCCTCCTCCTCCTCCTCCTCCACCTCCTCATCCTCCTCCTCCTCCCTCCTCCTCCTCCTCCTCCTCCTCCCTCCTCCTCCTCCTCCTCCTCCTCCTCCTCCTCCTCCTCCTCCTCCTCCTCCTCCTCCTCCTCCCTCCTCTCTCTCTCCTTTTAGCCTGGGGGAGGGAGGGGATCAGGGAGGTGGTGGTGGTGTAGATGTACCCTTGGGCCCCGCAGAAGTGCTGCGCGCGGCGCAGCCAGAGGGCGTCGCCAGTGGCCCGGCACAGCGACAAGAACACGTAGCCGTTGCCAGGGATGCCTCGGAAGAAGAACGGGTACTCATATACCGCTACCCTTCGCCCGTGTTCCTCGTTTGTGGCCTCCTGGGAGGCCCTCGTCGCCACCGCTGGATTCGCCTCGAGATCCTGCTGAGAACGCACCCCAGGTGAGCTCTGGGGAGTAGCGGTAACGGTACCTGTTGATTTCCCCAATGCCGTGGCACAGCCCGAGGCCCTTCGTGCGCAGCAGGCCTCGCCGCCACACCACCTCGCCACTCTCCAGGGCGAGCTGCAGATACCGGGCGTCCTGGTACACCGTCGACATCTGGAGGAGGAGCGGCACCAGGCCTGGCGCGCCGTGGCACCAGTGAACGCACCTGTCCCTGTGGCTGCCGGCGGAGGACGGCAGGTTGCCGCTCTGGAAGCGCTGGGACAGGAGCTTGTCGGCCGTGTCGCGCACGAGCTGCAGTGACCCCTCCCCCGCCTGGGCCAGCTCGCTGGGCAGCTGCAAGAGCGTCAGGAGGATCCCGGCCACGCCGTGCGCGCCGCCAGAGCTGGAGACGGCCAGGGGGCCTGAGCCAGCCGGCCTCCGAGAAAGTCGGTCCAGAGAGGCGGACGAGGCCACCTCCGCTCAACATCGGTCCCTGGGCCCCTCCCCGGAGTCCATCTTGAAAGGTTGTTCGCCCCAGGTCCGTTCGTGACGGCCCCATGGGGCCCGAAAGCCGGCCCCTGGAGGCCGAACAGGGCGCAGAACCTTCTCTCGCACCCGGCACCTCGAGCCTCACCCCCCTCCCCTCCCCCCACCTATCCCACTGGCAGAGAACCGGTGCTGGGCCACCCGTCGGGCCCCCGCCGACTCCAGCGCCGAAGTAGCACTTGTCGTGCCACTCGTAGTACAGCGGCCAGGACCCGCGCGCATCGCGCCGCCCGGCGGACAGCACCTGCTCGACGAGCCGGGCGGCCGGCGCGGCCAGGAGCTGCGCGTCGCCCAGCAGCCTTCGAGCAGGAGGTCGACGGCGTGCAGGGCAGTTCTTAATACATCGGATTTTGAAAATAGAGGATTTAAACTGCATGATTAATGTATGATGACATTTATGCATGGACTCATCGTTGTTTAATGCTAAATCCTTGCATGTTTAAATACATGATCCGCACGCAGAGCATGTATTAAAAACGGCACTGTAATTGAGTTACCCCAGACTTGAAAGTCTCGCCGAATCTGCAACAGATGCGTGCAGTGTTCGTCGTCACGGAAAAACCCTGTTACGCATTCTGCGTGGATGCGACGAAGGTTTCGATCTGGGGGCAATCAGTTCTGAAGTCGACCCCCTGCTGAAGCCTCCTCAGCAGCAGCACGGCCCCCAGGAAGCCGCAGCGGCCACAATCGGCGACACGCAGGAGGGGCCCCAAGGCAAGGGGTGCCCTTTTCTGGTGCGCGGCCCTCGGGGCTTGCGCGGGGAGGGCAGACCCGAGCGCGCGCAAGCCGCTGCTGTATCGCATCGCAGCCGGCCATCTGGGGATCCCCGTGCGCGCATGCTTGAAGGATGCGCACAGCAGCTTCATAACAGTGCACATCTGGGAAATGTACTTCCTCTGCTGACTACCTTTCCTCCTCCCTTCTCATACTTTCTCTTTTTCCTGCCTCTACCTCTTCCTCCTCCCATCCCTACCGAAGCTCACTCCGGCGAGAGGTCACTCTTACGTGCAGCCGACCATACAGCACCTCGCACTCCCCTGCAGGCAGCCCCTCCGCGCGCGCCGCCAGTGCGCCGAGCCGCTCCGCACACGCGGCCGCCTCGTGGCCCTCGCCGCGCTGCTGGTGCGCCCACGCCTGCAGCACGATGGCGCCCGGGGAGCCCTCCAGCAGCGTCACACGCCTGGCATCGAATCGGCCCTCCGCCCGGCGCAGCCGCCGCAGTGCCTCCTCCACCACCTCCGGCGCGTCCGCCAGCGCGCCGTGGTGCGCGAGGTGCAGCAGGGCGAGGCACGCCCCGCAGTCGCCCGTGTAGACGCTCGGCTTGGCGTGCCCCGCGCTGCGCACCTGCGGCACTGCGCTGCGGATCGCCGCCTCTGGCCGGGCACGAGTTCCAGCATCGACCACGCACAGACACGCACAGACACACACACACACACACACAGACACACACACACAAGAACACGAACGCATGCGTTCCTCCAGCGGCAGAGCGTTGTCACCGCAGCGAGTGCTGAGACGCGCGGGAGCCAACGTGCCACCTGGCAACATACAACCACACACACACACGCGCGCATACGCGCACACACACACACACACACACACACACACACACACACACACACACACACGCACGCACGCACGCACGCACACACACACACACACACACACACACACACACACACACACGCACACACACACACACACACACACGCACACACACACACACACATACAAAGACAACATACAAATACACACACACACACACACACGCACGTGTTTCCCCACACCGCAGTTGGTTGCAATCGCCTGGCAAAATGCGACGGGTCGCGTGAACAACGAATTCGCCTGTGGAGAGTGTGCTGGCCAGAATCCCGGCGGGACAAGGGGCACGGGGAAAAGGGTGGCCCGCCGCACGGCTGGTGCAGAACAGCACGCGCGGGGAAAAACTGTCAGACCGCCACACCCACACACACGCACACATGAAACGCGGTGCAGAGAAGAAGCCACAAAGGCCGTCCGAGGCAGAGGAAGAGGAGGAGGAGGATGAGGAGGAGGCGGAGGAGGAAGACTGCCGCCTCCAGCTGATCGCGCCAGCCCTCTGGCTCGGTGCCGTCGTCCAGCTCGTTCGGGAAGTGGCGCCCATCCTCCACCTCCATCCCGCCGCCGCACTCCGCTCGCAGAGGGCGTGAACCGGGCCGCCAGGCGTGCGCGGGCAGCCAGCGGGCCTACGACGCCCGCTCGGAGCCGCAAGGCCTGCGCGTGGGTGAAGACGGCGTCGGTGGCGGCGACGGCGAAACCGAGACCCAGAGATCCGATGTCGTGATTGTTTCCCTGCGCGGTCCCCAGGCTCCAGCACCGGCTTTTCCTCCTGAGTCGTTTTTGGGCGGCCCCGAGGCCCGACGAGGGCCCCTGGGGGCCGGGCCGCAGTTTGCGAAAAACCTCCACCTTGTTTTTTTCAATGCGCTGGACCTCTGGGGGCGCCTCCTCTCTCGTTGATGGCGTCCTCGGCAACGGCCTGTCGAGGGGAAGCGGGGAGCGTCCCCAGCACGTCATGCAGACTCTTCTCGAGAGCGGGCGGGCGAACGGGCGGCCTGCATGCCAGCTCCAGGAGGAGAGGTCCCCTAGAGGGCAAGCGGCACAAAGGAGAGAACGGCTGAAGGGAAAAGCCTGCGCAGGACACTCGAAGAGCCAGACGAACACGCGCGGGGGCTTTTGTCCCGTGACGTCAACAGGGTGCAACAACTGTGGTGAGAAGAACGCATGGGGGGGGGCGGAAGAGGAGGAAGACGACACGACGAGGGGGAGGGAAGCAGGAAAAACAAAACCTACATATCAAGGACATGTTCCACTGCATCTCGCCAACGGAGGCGTGGTCTACCTGGTCGACGACCAGCCGAGCAGCGATGCCAAGGGCGCCAATGAAGTAGCCGGTAATTCCATTTGTCTGCGTTGTCTTTCGCCACCTTGGCGGCGAAGATCTCCTTCCTTTTAGGCTGCGTGATCGCCCAATTATTGAATCCCCAACATGCACGTCTTGTCTCCGCGTGCTCAGTTGCACGCCGCATTTCGTAATCTACCCACGTGTCTTCCTCGCCCCTTGGGGTGCGAAATTCCTTCCGCACCATCTTCCGCCAAGTCGTCCGCAGCATCCGGCCACTGCGCACGTTGAGCGTCGGGCACTCGTATCCGTACATCGCTGTTGGCGTGACCACTGCATCAAAGAGTGGAGAGGAAACACAGGAGTGGGAGGAGGAGGAGGAGGAGGAGGAGGAGGAAGAGGACGACGACGACGACTGAGCAACGAATGGCAACGGGAAGCTGCGACGGGGGGGCGAAGTAGGTCAGGCGATGTTTGCCACAAGTGCACGAGTGGTTGTAACCCGAGCGTAGCTCGCGATGCGAGAGCCATCGCGCAAGCGCGCGCTTCGAGCGCTCATGGGTTCCACTGGTGTTCGGATCGCATATAACTCGAAGAGGGACCAGGAATCGACCTGATCAGAGTTTGCTTTCGCTTTCCCTCGTACAGGGCAACGTTTAATACGTAGGATTTTTAAACATGAATACATAAGATTTTTTAGTACATGAATAATAGGCTTTAATACATAGGTATCGGATTTAAGTACATGAATAATGTATGAATAGAATTATGCATGAACTCATCGTTGTTGTTAAGACTAAACACCTGTTGTTTATACATGATCCGCACGCGGAGCATGTTTTAAAAACGGCACTGTACGGTCTTCGTCCCGCCTCTTTGCTGCAGGGCAAAGATCGGAACGAGAACGGCCCCCCGAGGTTGCCGAAACACGCTTGTTCGGCTCAAACCCTGAAAAGGACCGTGTCCAGATATTCGGGGGCCGCAGGTTCCGAAGCCGTTGAGCGCGACAGTTGCTGAAAGTGAGGTGGCGGGCTCGGGTTAGGGTGAGGGGTGTACGGCTGATATTTGTACGCATACGTGTAAGCATGTGTGTCCCCCAGCTGTTCTCCCTCCCGTCCCCGTGCTCAGGGTGGGGATGGGGTGGGGCAGTGGGTGGGGATGCGGGGCAAGTCGGGAGGGAGGAGAGGAAAGAGCAGGGAATGAGAATAGCTGGCAAGGGGAAGTGCGGAAGAGGAGCGAGGAAGATGAATATGAGATTGAGTAGGGCGTGGCGGAAGGAGTGATTGAGGTGGGCAGGTGGGTTGTTCCTCCTCCTCCTCCTCCTTCTAACTCTACTCCTCCTGCTCCTCATCATCGCCAACAGCAGCAACAGTCAGCTTAAGACTTTTCGCTCTGTTCGGCTCGCATGCTATTCAACCTGTATACCCCGACCCCACGATACCCACCCTCGTTGTCCCCGAGCATTCCCCGCCTTACCTGCCTCGCGCAGTTGGCGCAAACCCTGAAACGGAGGAGGAAGGGAGGAGGGGAGGGACAACGGGAGAGAGAAGGGTGGAGCACGACAGAGATCAGCAAGAGGGAGGTTAGGAGCAGGAGAGCAAGCGGCAGAACCAGACGGGCGAGTCGGGCGGGCCGACCATAACGGGCGGGCCAGGCCAGCGGGTGGGCCCTGACGGCCCGGTCGAGCGGGCGGGTCGCTGAAGCATCAGTCCTGTCTGGATCGCGAGGAGGTCTCTGTCGATAGAGCGGTTCCCAAACACATCCTGAGGATGTCCAAAGCGAGAGCGTGATTCCCTGAGTGTTGGGGGCGCGGCGTTGCAAAAACTGCGAAGAAGTGCCACGCGAGACTGCGAGTCCTGTGCAACTTGCTAGGAAGTCATGCGCAAGAGCGCCATTTCGAAGCAATGGAGCGGAGAAATCTGGCGGGAGCCGTTGTTGTAGTTCGGGGGCCAGGCTCACAGTCTGAGGCGCAAGCCGTTCCCTGGAAAAAAAAAGGGTGCGAGCCTTGGGCGGGGCACTTCCACTGAAAAAGCAAGAAGGTGCACAGGAGGGAGGGTCAACAATAGTAACTTGCTGGAGAAAGGAGCTCCACAACGACAACAACCTAATCACCATCGTCATCATTGTCATCATCATCATCATCATCATCATCATCATCATCATCATCATCAGCAGCAGCAGCAGCAGCAGCAACATCATCGTCCTCATCATCAGCACCATTCTCAACATCATCATCATCATCATCATCATCATCATCATCATCGTCATCATCATCATCATCATCATCATCATCAGTATCCTCATCATCACCACCAGTATCATCATCATCACTATCGTCATCATCATCAGCATCATCTGCATCACCATCATCATCATTATCGTCATCAGCATCATCAGCATCCTCACCATCATCGCCAACAGCATCATCCGCATCATCATCAGCAGCAGCAACAACCGCAGCAGCATCTGCATCAGCATCAGCATCATCAGCATCAACATCATCAATAGCAACACCATCACCGCCATGGCCATCGCCATCGCCATCGCCGTCGTAACCATCGTCGTCACAATCATCATCATCATTATCAATGTTGTCTTCCACCTGCTCGACCAGCGTCATCCATCACGCAATCATCACAATCTGCCGTCACCATCCATCATCACAATCATCATCATCACCATCATCACAGTCATCATCCAGTTTGCCTTCCACCTGCTCCATCTCCTTATCATCTGTCGCGGGGCTTTCGCGCGGCCATCTCTAAGCTGTCTGTGGGCCCCGTGGGCCCGAATTGGGCTCCGCGCGGGGCCTTCCTGCAGCCTTCTGGAACAACTCTCGAGGGGAAGTCTTGGACGCGGACGGGAGACGGGAACGCTGGGTGGGGGGGGACGGGGGGCGGCAATGGGGGGAAGGGGGGGGAGGAGATGTTTTGGGGGGGGAGGGGGGGCGTGAGGGAGGAGAGGGGGGCAGGGCAAGTCAGGTGCGCTCGTGTCAGATGACGTCCTACCCCGCCCTCCCGTCCCTTGCCTTTGTGCTGCTTTGTTCTCTATCCGCGGACGCGTGAGTAAACCCACCCTCTGATCGCAAGTCTAAGAAGACATCAGCGCCGAGCAGCCCCGAACATATCAGAAGGAGAAATGGTGGCGAACCGGAAGACATCATCCTGGGGTGCGCTCATGGGTGATACCAGGATCAAAATAATGTTACATTGGTGTCCAAAGACGAAATAAAAGTGTCCACACCCGTCGCGTGAAGACAAAGCTACACCCAAAGACAGCATACCATCATATGTATCCCCCGCCCCCCCCCCCCCGCCCAACCCAAAGTTTACGGGGTCGGGCGTGAGGCAACACGTGAGGGAAAAATGTGGACACTTCAACTGTGGGATCGGGGATCGGGGAGAAGAGGTGTGAGCCATGTGCCGTCTGCGGCTGCGTATGGTATCAACTCATATCGTCTTTACTCTATAGGTCTGGACACGTTTTGTCTGGGCACCTTCGCGTGGACACCGCGCGGCCATTGACCGGATGAGCTGCGCGGGGTCGCGCACGGGGTATGGGCCACCACAAAACACAGAAGGGAAGGCGGAGGAGGTCGGGAAGGACGAGAGGGCGACGAGCGAGCGAGCGAGCGAGCGGGCGACAACGGTGGCGGACGAGCGAGGCGACAATCTAGGGGGCGAAAGACAGCAAGCACGGGAACGAGGCCAGCGCCACAGCAGAAGGACTCTGCCGAAGGGTTGAACATGCGGGGACGAGGCGAACGCTACAGTTAAGTCGGGCGTGTCCCCCTGCAGGGGGATTTGCGACGAAAAATAAAAAATATTCAAAACATACTCCAAAATGGTTTTAAAAAAAAAAAAAAAAAAAAAAAAAAAACATACTAAACATATAGTCCCCAGACTAGTCTGTGACTATTCTTGAACATTCCCCCTGTAGAGGGACAAGCCCGACTTAACGCTAATCACAGCGGGAGCACCAGTTCGGAAGGGCTGAGAACGTCCGGAGTGGAACAAGAACACACACACACACACACACAAAAAGAAGAAACATCAGCTTTACACCACCCTGCGCGGCGGAGGAGAAGGCGCGGAGCGTGGGGCGCGCCCCCCCTGCTGCCTTCTGGGGGAGAGAGAGAGAGAGAGAGAGAGAGAGAGAGAGACAGAGAACAGCACTCGCACTGTGACCAGGGGGAAGCAGGGGGAAAGGAAAGGAGCGGGGCGACGGCGATGAGGACGCGCGCGGATCCAGAAAAGTGGCCCGCGATGGGGCGAGAGAGCTACCCGGAAGGATGGGGGGCCAAGCGCCGATCCCAAAATGATGTCGGCGCTGAGGCGAGAGCACCATGGTGAGGCACCGAAAACGGTCCGATTGAGCACAAGAACTACGAAATATCGCCTGCTGAAGTCCAGCATGCTCAAAGACAATGCGCGGAGGGGGGCGGGCAACGCCCAGGCCATCTCCAGGGAAGGGGGAGAAGATAGTACTGCTGTCGCGTACTGTCGGGAACTTTTGCTTATATACGTGTCGCGGCCGCGGCCCTGGCGACAAGCTGTGCCTTGCAAGCGGACAGCGTATCACTCCGCTCCGCTCCGCTTCGCGGGACGGGAGACTGAGGAACGCTCGGGACATTGACGCTCGGGAACTGCAACGTGGACAGCGTGTCGCTCAGAAGCGCGGTGGGCCAGAACCGGCGGAGCAACACGATGCACAAAAATCCCCGACCGCAATTGAAGAGAGAGAGAGAGAGAGAGAGACCAAAAAAAAGAAAGAGAAGGAGAGCAAGAGAGAAGAGGGGCGGGAGGAGGGTGGGCGGGGTGGCGGGAACCAGGGGCTCACGAGCGGCGAGCATGTCCCTGTCCACGCCCTCGCGGTCTGGACTCCAGGGCGCGATCCCGCGGGCACGGATGCGTTCCGCGCGGGGCATCCGCGAGGAAGCGCCCCCCGCACCCGCGGGGCCGCGGCCCAGGGACCCAGCCCGCGAGGCCGCCGGCGCGGACAGGTCTCTTCCGCCCCCACGAGGGGCGAGGAGGGCGGGACGAGGGGAGATAAAGCCAGAGGGGGGGGGGATCAGGGGAGGGGGACAAGGGGAGAGAGAGCGGGGGGGGGAGCGGAGTGGAGAGCAGGGGGGGGGGAGGCGAGTGGAGCGCGGGAGGCGGGGGGGGGGGCGAGGGGGGAGAGAGCGGGGGCGAAGGGGGGGGCAAGGGGAGAGAGAGAGCGGGGGGGGAGCGGAGTGGAGCGCGGGAAGCGGAGCACGGCGGCACCGCTGAGCCCCGCACGGCCGAGCGGAGCCGCCGCTGCCTCACAGAGGCGCCGCTCTCTCTCTCTCTCTCTCTCTTTCGCTAGCCGCCCGTGCATCCCTGGCGGCCCGCCCGAGCACTCCCGGGCGGGCCGCATCCCCTCCAAGCTCCCTCCCTTCGCCCCTCCTCCTCGCCCCTCCTTCCCCTCCTTCCCCTCCTCCCCCCTCGACTCCACCACCTCCCCGTGCCCCTCCTCCTCCTCCTCCTCCTCCTCCGCCTCCTCCTCCTTCTCCTCCCTCCTCCTCCTGGCCGTCTCCACCTCGCCGCTGCCCCCACCCCCTTCGCTTGCCCGCCCCCTCCCCCTGCCCCTGCCCCCCCACCCTTTCTCCTCTGCCCCATTCCCGCACCGTCGTGCCCACGCTGCCCCTCAAATGGAGCCGGGCAGTTTTCAACATGTGCCCTCGCCTGAGCACCGCGCATACTCTTTTTAAACATGTGCAAGAGCTTCACGGAGTGAGGACGGGTGGTTTTCAACATGTGCCTCTCGCCTTAGCACCGCACACACTCTTGTTAAGCTTTGCCAGAGCTTTACTGGCTGGAAGCGGGTAGTTTTCAAAATGTGGCTCTCGCCTGAGCGCCTCGCGCACTTGTGCAAACCATTTGAAAGAGTTCCATGGATTGAGGGCGGCTCCTTTTCAAAAGGTGGCTCTCGCCTTAGCGCTAGCGCCGCGCATTCTCGTTGAAAACAAATGCAAGGGTGCCACTGGTTCTCATGGTTTGCGTACCAGCAATGTTTTTTCCACGGTTCAGGAGTGTCAGGACGCAACAGTTGGGTCGTCAAGACGCAACGATCAGGTTCACTCGTGGAGTTGAAATCATGAGGATGGTGTTTTGGCACGCTTCGGGATTTTGACACGGTTGTCCCCCAACGGGGCAGTTCCCTCAGTGGAGATGAATCCTTGTAGGTGCCTATGAAAAGAGAGCTTGGAGGAAGGGTGTCCTTCCAACATCGTTGACGTCTGCTGGGTTTACAATGGTCCCTTTCATCCTCCTCCTTTTCCTCCTCCTCCGCCTCCTCTTCCTCCTCCTCCTCCTTCTCATCATCCTCCTCCGACGACAACGGCGGCGACGACGACAACGAAAACCACCACGACGACGACGACGACGACGACGACGACGACGACGACGACGACGAAGACGCGCGCCGGCGGCGACGACGACGACGACGACAAGGACAGACGCTGACGTCGATGACGAGGGCCCGGTGTCCCCCGAGGAGCGCGAACGCCGCGCGCGCTGCCTGGCCGCGCGCGCGCCCGCGAGTCGGCTCCCGCCGGGGGCGGCCGCGGCAGCGGCAGGCGCCCCTTCGGCAGCAGGGCCTCGGGCGGACGCCGGCGACAACGGGGGCTGCGACGGCGACAGCGGCGATGGCGGCGGCGGCGGCGGCGGCGGCGGCGACGGCGACAACCACGGCGACTGCGAGAACTGCAACCTTCTTGCGACCCTCGTATCTATATGGGAGGCGGGGCACCGTCACGGCAACTGCGGTCGGCGGCGACGGCCCTCCACCTAACCCCCCCTCCCTCTCGTGGGAAGCGGGAGGCTGCACCGGCTCGCCGACGCAGAACGCCTGGCCAGCCAGACTCGCAGCCCGCCGGAGGAGGCGGGGGAGGGAGCAGGATGGAGGGGGGCAGGAGGGAGAGGGGGGCGGAGCGGGGGGCGGGGGAGGGGGGGCGGGGGGGAGGCAAGCTAGGTGCGCTGGCGTCATGTCTGACGTCCTACCCCTCCCGCCCAACCCCTGTACCATAGCGTAGATCTCCTCTCTGGTCGCACAGTTGGATGTCGTAACATGGCATATCATCACATGGCATAGCATGGCGCTGAAGATCAACGCGCAACATGACATAGCATGGCGTGGCGACGCCCCAAAGTGGGAGGGCTTCTGCGGCCCGAGATATCAACGAATCGGCACCGAATGTGGAATCAATTATGCCTGTTTTTTTCGGGCGGCCGTTTTCTAGATTCTTGGGCCTGTTTGGCCGAAAAGCATGCCGTGGCATGGCCATGGAAATAATGACGCCAGCGTTGCAGCGGGAGCACGATTCGGAACGAGCGGAAGCGGGGAAGCAGGAAATGAGGCCCACGCTGCAGCGGGAGCCCGATTCGGAACGAGCGGAAGCGCGAAAATGAAACCAGCACTGCAGCGGGAGCACGATTCGGAACGAACGGAAGCCCGAAAATGAGGCCAGCGCCTCAGCGAGAGCAGCATTCTTTCTTAGGAAACAAGAAACAACAACAAACAACGAAAACCCAACTCGCCGACATCCTGTGGAAAAAAACGATACGCGATGGGGGGCCGAACGTTCCAAGACAGATTCCGCCACAGACCCAGGGGAGGGAGGAAAGTAGCATTCATATTCAATAATTGTGGAGGAGCGGAGGGCTGGGAGAGGAGGGGGGGGGGGAACGGGGGGGGGGAGGGGGGAGAGACGGCGACAAGGGCGGCGAGGGGGGGGGAGGGAGGAGCGGGGGGAGAAGGGCGGCGAGGCGGGAGGTGAGGCGGGCGAGGAGGGGAGACGGGCGAGGAGGAGAGGGGGAGGGGGGGGGGGGGTCGGGGCGGCGGAAAGGGGGGGACGCCGGGGGGGGGGGGGGGGGGGGGGGGGGGGGGGGGGACGCGGGGCGCGGCGCGCGCAGAGGGCGACGGGGGGGAGAGGCGGAGGATCCAGGGGATCGGGATGAATCCCAGGCGGGCGCGCGCCCCCCCCCCACCGCACCCCCTGCGAGGCACTCGACGCGCGCCCCCGCGCCCCAGCCCCCCAGCCCGCACCCGGCCCGCGGCTCTCCGGCGGGGGCGCGGAGCCCTCCGAGCGGGCAGCTGCGCCCGCGCGGCCCCGCTCCCAGAGCGAGAGAGCCGCCGCGGCGCGCGGGCGGGCACGCGAGATCGCGCAGCGCAGGCGGGGGGGCCTCGCGCTGCGACGGGCAACGCTTCGCCGCGCGGCGCGGCGCGCGCGCCGCGGGCGGGGCGAGACCACGGCGCGCGGAGACCGCCATCGAGGCAGTGCGAAGGCGGCGGCCTTACATCTAGAGACAAGGCCCGCGCCTTCTAAGAAGCAGGGGTGCTTCTAAGAAGCCCTCCCCCCTCCCCCCACCCCCCTCTGCGCGTGGCTGATCCCCCTCGGAGCGCCCCGGTGGGAACCTCACGCCTCCGTCGGCCGCGTCTCGTCGGCGGGGGCGTCGCCCTGCGATCGGCGGCGTCTCGCTGCGGAACGTCCACGCCGTCCGAAGGGAGGGGCTCGAGGGGGTGGCCCCGGCGCCCGCCGCTGCGGAATCCCGAAGAGGGGGAGGAAGAGAAACAACAAAAACAAAAAAACAAAACGAGCGAAAATACGTGGAATGGCGGGAAGCCCCTGGCAGCGCCTTGGGCGCCTGGGTGGCGCCCAGAGCGGGAGAGGCCGGGGGGCGCTCGGGCGCGCCAGGGGAGCGCCAGGGGGCGCCCGGGAGCGCCGCGGGTGTAAACAGGGCAGCGTGAAGTTGCAGAGCAGCGGGCTGCGCGCTGGAGTGTCTCCAAGAAGGCTTCGCTTTTCCAACGCGATGGGCACTGCTTCTTGGGCGCTATCTGAGCCAGCGTCCAAGGTGGCGGCGCTGGCCGCGCAGCCAGTCGCGCAGGCGCGCGAACTCGCGAAGGGTCTGATGCGCCGTTCCGACGAGGGGGCGGTACTGAGTGCAGTCCACTCTGGGATGGCAACTTCTCCAACAGACTTGCACCGGAGCCAGGCCGGCCAGCCGAGGGCCCCGAAAGGAGGACGGGGGGCCCGAGCTGGCGCGAGGGGCTCCTCGCTGCCAAGCTACGGAGGCAGCGCGCGGAACTGGGCAACGCACGAGAGCGCGGCGGCGGCCCTCGCGCAGCAGATGTCAGCGACGCGAGCAGCGACGCGAGATACTGCGGGCGGGCGGCCACCAATCGTCCTGGCGCGAGGCTGCACCAGGAGAGCTGGGGCGATCCAGCGCGCGCCATCATCCGCCGCTGGGCCCGTGGCCAGGCCGGGGTCGACGAGCGAGTCGACATTCTAGATCTTCTCGAAGGAGGGGGCGCGGGCCCTGAGCGCCCCCAGAACCTGGTCGACAATGTCATCGGAAATCGGAGCAAGAGCGCGGCCGCGGCTTCAGCCACTTGCACAGCATCTGCCGAGGCGCCAGGAGATCTGGCGCAGCGAACCGCGGCGCCAACGTCTCCAGCGCAAGCATGGCTGTTCAAGGAGACGCCGTAGATCGTCCAGGGCGGGCGCTGTGACCGCGGCCAAGACGGGGCCGCTGAGAGCGCCGCCCTGGACGATGCCAGACAAAATCCACCAAGCGTGCGTCTGTGCGTCATTGACCGCGGCGACAACCTCGAGATTGGAGCCGAGCTGGTTAACAACTCGGGAGCGGCCAAGATGGGGGTGTCCAAGAGGGGGGGGTGCAAATCATGACCGGCGGCATGTGCGCGGCCCAGCGGGGGGGCCAGAGACGTAATGAAATAAGAAAGGGCGCCATGAAATCTGGGGAAATATCATGGCCCACGCGATGATCTCCACCCCCCCCCCAGGTATCACCCCCCCTTTTCCGCCCCCGAACAACAGCAGAGAAGGCCCCAGACAGTCCAAGGATTGAAAGACCATGAACAGAAACTCCTGCGAAAGGCTTGGAAACGCTGCCCCGTAGTCGAGCGCGACGAGCGCGGGCGTGGAGGATGGCGCCGATGGCGCATCAGAATCCGCCCTGCCAAACACGTCCAGCTCGAGCACGTTGACTGCAAAGTTCCCCTGGGGAATGCAGCCTCGCTGTGATCGAGGGTCCCGGCTGCGCGGAAGCCCACTGAATCTCGCGTTGGCGGTTGCGCTCCTGCGCGTGATTTCCACGCTGCGGGGCCCGGGCACTCTAACCGCGGAGAATGCGCGACTTCGGAGGCCAAACTTGAGGCGCGTCGTTCAAGCCCTCGAACAAAGATATGGCCAGACAGAACCCCGGCGATCGCACCGGAGAGCACGCTGGGGCCCGCCTCGGAGGCGAGCCAGGCGGAGTGGACCACGCCATCCAGGTCAGGTGCGGAGCGGCGAAGGTCGCGGGCATCGATGGGCTCTGCCCTGAAGATCGGCGCCAGTGTCCCAGCAAACGTGGATGCGCGCCCAGCTGGTCGGAGACGACCTCGCTCTCGTTACCAGCGGCCGTTCTTCACTTGAGAACCGTGCGCCTAGCGAGAGGACACCGCGGCGCAGCTGTTCGCCCCAGCGCTGGAAGTGGATGCCGAAGCTGCGAAGGAGGACGGGGGGAACGAATCGATCCCCGAGATGGCGGCGACGGAGGTCAGAATGACGCCGCTGCACGGGCTGGGGAACGTCGCCCGTCCTCTTCGGTAAAGCCGTTGCAACTTTTAGAAACGAATGTGCGCGGCGCCAATGCGAGAGCCACAACTTGAAGACCACCTGCCCTCCATCCGTGAAACTGTTGCAAGCTTACAAGACGAATGTGCGTTGCTCTCAGGCGGGGGCCACATTTTGAAAACCACCCGCCCTGCATCCGAACCTGCTTAAAATTTGTAAGGGTACTGTGCACGGCGCCATGGCGAGAACCACCGTTTGAAAACGGCACGCCTTCCATCCGTGAAATTGTTGCAACGTTCGTGCTTCAGGGTCATAAGCGGCGAGGAAGTCTCAGGCGAACCGCCAGGCCCGCCCTACCAACACGTCTGGGGGTGCAACAGTGAAGAGTTATGCATACTCCGAGTTTCTTAAATAAGCTTCGGGTGGGGGGGGGCGTCACCCCCGCCGACAGCCACACATCGACCCCCGTCGCGGGCAGTCACCGCGCGCCGAAGGCGCTCCGACCCCCGTCGCGGCGCGACGACGAGACGAGGTGGACCCCCGTCGGGGGGGTAACCCCCCACGCTTATTAAGACATCCAGAGCAAGGACAAGAGATGGAGGAGGAGGAGGAGAAGGAGGAGGAGGGATGATGGACGGGGGCAGACAGGCCAGGGAGGAGGGGCATTGGAGCTGTCATATTGCCATCGCTCGGACGTCCAGTCCCCGTTAGTTTCTTCAGGTGGGCCAAGTGTTCTGGCCTCGGCCTCGCCAAAAAAAACGCACACGTCCGAACGATGCCAAGTCACAGTGCGAAGAGCAGGGCCAAACGTTTTGCAACACGAAACGGCGCCTTCCAGTCGGACTGGCCCAGGGCCCTCTTGTCGCTTGCCCTGGCATGCAAGGGCAGGGAGGGCGAAGGGAAGCAGCAGGACGCTGCGCGCAGGGAGGGCCTCCTCTTGCCATTTCACATGTAACCCTCTGCCCCTGAGAATAACAAACGGGTGACCCAGGGGATAATAGAGCTCGGCGTCGCAGGGGGATAATAGACGAGTTGACCAAGCTGATGTTGCTATTGGACATAATAATATAGCAATTTCGATTCGTAACGTTCCCCCACGATAATGAAACTCGGCCTTGCCGCCCCTCTCCCCCGGCCAACTCTGTCTTGGCCGGGGAGAACCAACTCGCAGGGGGGAAGGGGGGGTATGATTTATCATCCGGGGCTCGCGGTGAATGTCCCTCTCACCTCCCTCCCCGTGCTCTCTCCTCACTTCTCTTACTTTGCAAATCCGAACGGGCCACTGCGAACTCCAGCCCGATCATGCCACGTCCACAACCAAGACACCCGAGAGCGCCATCGAACCCGAGGGAGGGAGGGACTTGAAGGGGCGAGGGGGGGGAACAGGGGATCGGACAGGGCAGACAGAGGGCGGGGGATGCACGTCAGTGGCACAGTGGCGGGACTGGCCAACTTCAGTGAGAAGAACTGGTTCCCATTTTCCTGTGGGACAAGTGGACGATCCCCTCCCACGAGGGCCTGAGAATCATGGAGAACCCATCGATTGCCAGAAACCCTTGGGGAATCTGGCGACCGATGGGTTCCCCACAAATCGGAATGATGGGAAGCCCATAGATGGACGACAGAAGGCCTGCCAACTATGGGAAGCCCATAGATCGCCAGAAGCCCCTAGGGAATCTGGCGGCCTATGGGTTTCCCACGATCCGGAACTATGGGAAACACATAGATGGACGACTGCCTCCTACGTGTGCTGCACATCGCGGCCGCTGTATATGGAATTGTCCGATTGGGTGCCTACACAATGCGAGTGCAACGCAAGCCCACGACACGTCCAGAACGAGATCTGTACCCATTCGGCCCAGATGGTCCGAAAACGACTCCAGAAGCAGTGGGAGCCCAAAATCAGGCGGGCGCCAACCGAAGTTCTGGTCGATTCGAATCAAATTCCGGCCGACTTGAATCACAGTCTGCGCAGGTTTCGGAAAATTTCTGGGGCCCAAAACCCTCATGCTCCCCGCCCTGGCCTCTGCACAAAGCGCCGACGTCGAGAGTTCATGCCCGCGCACAGGTATGCAACGCGCGTGCTGCAAGACAGAGCATAGCGTTTGTCCTCCACGACCCAGCGCGCTCCCACTGCGATTATCAATGGTCTGGGACACCCCCCCTGGGAAAAATTTGTGGTGGGGTCCGGATCCCCCCCCCCTCCCACGGGAAAAGCATTGAGGGGGGGTCAAATACGACGGCGGCGGACCTGTCGAAAGTACCTGAGCCAGGCGCCAGTTGGATAGACTGCTACAGCGGGCTCGATCCAGGTCTATCAGTATCCTGCTAAGGAACTGCTGTACTTGACTCTACTCTACCCTACTCTACTCTACTCGACGCTCTCCCCTTTTCATCTCGATCCTACCGTGCCCTAAAAATACTCTACTCTAATCCACGTTGCTCTTACTCTACTCTGCTCTACTCCGTCTCTACTCTACTCTCACCCCCGCTGTTTTACTCAGGTCTACTCTACTCTACTCTACTCTGCCCTATTCTATCCTACTCTTCCCCATCGTACACTAACACATACCTGTATACGATACGTTGCGCCTACTCAACTCTACTCTAATATACGCAGCTCTGCTCTGCTCTACTCTACTTTGTCTGCCCTACTCTACCGATCTGCTCTTCTCCATTCCACTCGCTTTGCCCTACTCTACTCTACCCTACTCGACTCTACACTACGGTACCCTCACATTTTCACCCGACCCCACTCTGCTCTACTCTACTCCTACTCTCCTCTACTATATGTCTGACCTACTCTGCCCATCTACCCTTCTCTACTAGACACGATGTGCCCAAGTCTACTCTACCCTACTCTATCCGACCGTCCCCTCACATCCTCTACAATACTACACTTTCATCTTACTATACTTGCCTCTACTCCCTCTCAACGTTCCTCCAACATCCCCTAATCCACTCCACTATACACTACTCTGACCGACTCTACTCGACCCTACCATAACACAACGTAATATACCCTACTCTACTCTATTCTACTCTACCCTGTTCCTGCTCTACTCTACTTGTCTATGCTATACTCTACCCGGCTCTGCTCTGATATACTATAGTTCTGGTCCACTCCACCCATCTACTCTTCTTTACTCTACTCTTTTTCTACTCGAATATGGTCGACACCGCCCTGCTCTACGCTACCCGACCGTACCCCAACCTACTCACTCTACCCTCCACACTACTACTATTATACTCTACTCTACGCCTGCACGATCTGCTCGTCATCGTCGTCGTCGTCTTCGTTGTCGTCGTGGTCATGCTCGTCGTCGTCGATGTGGTCGGCGGCGGCGGAGTCGGCTACGCCGCTGGCGCTGGCGTCGCCGTCGGCGTCGGCGTCGGCGTCGGCGAAGGTGTCGGCGTTGGCTTCGGCGCTGGCGCCGGCGTCGGCGTCGGCGTCGTCGTGGTCGTCGGCGACTTCGTGGTCGTGGTGCGCGTTCTCCCCCCACCCAGGATCAAATCCCGACGACTGCCAGCTTCCCACCGAAACGGGAAGGGGGTGGGGCACATTGCCAGAACAGGCCGACAAGGAAGGAGCAGAGAGTGTGGGACTTGCAGCAGGTCGAGTGGGCAGCGTGGCTGTCGAACACGGCAAGGGAGAAGGGAAGCGGAGGAAGGGAGGAGGAGGAAGACGAGGCGGACGAGAAGAAGCGGGAAACGAAGGAGGCGGAGAAAGAGGAGAGGGAAGAGACGAGGAGGAGGAAGAGGAGGAGGCGGAGGACGAGAGGAAGGAGTACACGAAGGACGAGGAGGAGGAGAAGGAGGAGGAAGAGACGAAGGAGAAGGAGGAGGAGGCAGAGGGGGAGGAGAGGGAGGAGAGGGAGGAGAGGGAGAAGGAGGAGGAGGAGGACCAGTTTAAACCCAAGCCTCATAAACGATGTTGGAATCCACCCTCCCTCCAAGCTCCCTCTTCATAGGCATCTGCAAGGGTTCAGTTCCACTGAAGGAAGGGCCTCGTTGGGAGCAACAATTTGGAGGCCCTGAAGCTTGCCAAAGCACCATTCTCATGACTCCTACGCAACGGATCAACCTGACTGTTGCGCCTTGTCGATCTGAATCGTGCCAGAACCCCATTCCTGGGACTTCAACACCGCAGATTGACGTAAATGTCGCACCCTCACAACCCTAAACCCGTCCAGAACATAATTTCAGGTACACAGACGATGGGAATCCGTGAAACTGCTGCACTGTCCCAAAACGACTATGCGCGGCATTAAGACAAGAGCCGCATGTTGAAAACAACCCACCCTCAATCCGTGAAACTCTTGCAATGGTTTGCAACGGACGTGCGCGGCGATTGGGCGAGAGCCACATGTTGAAAACGAAACGTATTCAACCCGGGACAAGCTTGCAGGTGTTTTCAAAAAAATGCGCGAGGCGCTAACGCGAGAGCTGCATGTTGAAAGCCGCCCACCCTCAATCCGTGAAGCTCGCGCAATGTGTTGCAACGAATGTGCGCGGCGCTGAGGCGAGAGCTGCATTTGGGAAGCGACCCGCCCTCCATGTGTGAAACTGTGGCCATGTGTTTAGCTTCAGGGCCATAAATGGTGAGGAATCCTGAGGCGAAACGCCCAGCCCGCCCTTTCGACTGGCCTCTGGGTGCGACAAGGAAATTGATTAGAAGAAAACGGAATGGAACTGAGGAGGAGGAGGAGGAGGAGGAGGAGGGGGGAGGAGGAGGAGAAGAAGGAGGAGAAGGAGGAGGAGGAGAAGAGGGGGAAGAGGGAGGAGGTGCAGGAGGAGGAGGAGGAGGAGGAGGAGAAGGAGACGGAGGGGGGGAGGAGGAGGAGGAGGAGAAGGAGGAGGAGGAGGAGGAGGAGGAGGAGAAAGAGGAGGAGGCTCCCCCCCGCAGCGGCGTCATGAGGGGGCGCCTGCGGGCTGTCTCGCTGTGCCTCGCCGTCAGGCTCGCCAGCAGCTCGTCGGGGCGGGGCCGGGCCGCCGCCGCGGCCTGCGCCCTGGGCAGGAAGGGCCCACCTCCTCCTCCTCCTCCTCCTCCTCCTCCTCCTCCTCCTCCTCGTTCTCCTCCTACTCCTCATCCTCCTCCTCATCCTTCCTCTGTGTCCCCCTCAATCCTCCTCCTCCTGCTCCTCCTACCTGTCCTGCCCTCCACGTTCTCCTCCTCCTCCTCCTCCTCCTCCTCCTCCTCCTCTCCTCCTCCTCATTCTCCTCCTCCTCTCTCCTCCTCCTCCCCTCCTCCTCTCCTTCCCCTCCCTCCTCCACCTCCCATCCTCCATTATTCTCCTCCCTCTCCCGCTCCCTCCCCCTCCCTCCTCCCTCCTCCCTCCCCCCTCCCTCTCCCTCATCCCTCCACTATCCTCCCTCCTCCCTCCACCCTCCCCCCTCCTACTCCTCCTCCTCCTCCTCCCCTCCTTCCTCCTCCTTCTCCTCCTCTCCTCCTCTGCTCCTCCTCCCCCTTCCTCCTCCTCCTCCTCCTCCTCCTCCTCCTCCTCCTCCTCCTCCTCCTCCTACTCCTCCTCCCCCCTCCTCCTGCTCCCTCCTCTCCTCCTCCTCCTCCGCTCATCCTCCTCCTCCCTCCTCCTCCTCTCCTCCTCCTCCTCCTACTCCTCCTCCTCCTCCTCCTCTCCTCCTCCTTCCGCCTCATCCCCCCTCCTCCTGCTCTCTCCTCCTCCTCCTCCTCCTCCTCCTCCTCCGCCTCCCTCCACCTCCTCCTCTCCTCCTCCTCCTCCTCCTCCTCCTCCTCCTCCCCTCCTCCCTCTCCTCCTCCTCCTCCTCCTCCTCCTCTCTCTCCTCCTCCTCCTGTCGCGTTATCTTCCTCCTTCTCCTCCTCCTCTTCTCCTCCTCCTCCCCATTCATCCTCATCCTCATCCTCATCCTCATATCCTCATCATCCTCATTCCTCATCCTCATCCTCATCATCATCATCATCATCATCATCATCATCATCATCATCATCATCATCAGCATCATCATCAGCATCATCATCATCATCAGCAGCAGCAGCATCAGCAGCAGCAGCATCATCAGCAGCATCAGCAGCATCAGCAGCCGCATCAGCATCATGCAGTTCTCCTCTTTCTCGTCTTCCGCCTTCTCTTCCTCATCCTCCTGTCCTGCTTCTCCTCCTTCTCCTCCCCCTCCCTCTCCTCCTGCCCTACAGAATTACACACTATGAATACTACTCTCCTCTCTCCCCTGACGACGTCCAGAAGATACTCGGGTCCCCTCCGCGTACTGACTTTTTACTCACAGGACTCCCGAGAGTTAGGTTTCCGCTTGGGTCCATTTCAAAATGTTGTTTCCGCTCCAACGCTGGCCTCCTGCCCGCGCTTCCGCTCGTTCCGTATCGTGTTCCCGCTGCAATGCAGGTCTCATTTCCGCGTTTCCACTCGTTCCGAATCGTGCTCCCGCTGCAGCAACGCCATGCTGTGACACACTACGCTCTGCCATGCTCTTCTACGCCCTGCTACGCCGTGCTCTACGATGTATCGCGCACCCGTTCGGGATCTTTGCCCTGCTCGAAATCCGACTGTGCGAATAGACAGGATATCTACGCCATGGTGAAGGATGGGCGGGAGGGTAGGACGTCAGATATGACGCGCGCGCGCACCTGGCTGGTCCTCCTCCTCCTCCTCCTCCTCCTCCTCCTCCTCCTCTCCTCCTCCGCTCTGCTCCTCCTCCTCCTCCTCCTTCCCTCCTCCTCCTCCTCCTCCTCCTCCTCCTCCTCCTCCCCGTCCTGCTCCTCCTCCTCCTCCTCCTCCTCATCCTCCTCCTCCTCCGCGGCCCTCGGGGCGGCGGGGCGGAGAGGCGCCCCTCGGTGTCGACCCTGCTCCTCTGCGTCGCCTCCCTGGGGAGGAAGGTGCTCTGGCGGCGCGGCCGGGCCGAACGACAACGACGACGACGACGACGACGACGACGACATCGACGACGTCAACGACGACGACGACGACGACCCAACGCCGATTCGAATCACGAAAAAGATCATGGGGCAACCGAGATAGGTCTTGAATCCCCCCCCCAACAGCGGAAACTAAATACTTGTCCAGCGTTCTGATTGAGGACTGGGGCCCCACCACTAGCAGAACATGGTGATTCACCCGCGGCACACGCGGCGCAGTGGCAATAGCAGCAGCCCTCGTACTGGCAAAAGAAAAGAGAGACCCAGAAACAGTATCAGCCGCAGTAGTAGTGGTAGTGGAAAAATAATGGTGATAATCATATCGATAGTAGTCGTAATAGTACTAGTAGTAGTAGTAGTAGTAGTAGTAGTAGTAGTAGTAGTAGTAGCAGCAGTAGCAGTAGTAGTAGTAGTAGTAGTAGTAGTCGTCGTAGTCGTAGTCGTAGTCGTAGTCGTAGTCGTAGTCGTAGTCGTAGTCGTAGTCGTAGTCGTAGTAGTAGTAGTAGTAGTAGTAGTAGTAGTAGTAGTAGTAGTAGTAGTAGTAGTAGTAGTAGTAGTAGTAGTAGTAGTGTAGTAGTAGTAGTAGTAGTATAGTAGTAATAGTAATAATAGTACCAGTAGTAATAATAGTAGTAGTAGTAGTAGTAGTAGTAGTACGAATAGTGGTAGTAGTAGTAGTAGTCGTAAAAATAGTAGTAGTAGTAGTAGTAATAGTAGTAGTAGTAGTAGAAGCAGTAGCACGATGAATTCTAGTGGTAGTTGTCGTACAAGTAGTAGTAAGTGTAGCAGGAGTGGTAGTAGCCGTCGTAGTCGTAGTAGTAGCGCGGAAGTAGTAGCCGTAGCCGTAGCAGTGGTAGTAGTTGTAGTAGAAGTAGTAACGACTAGTAGTAGAAGTAGTAGTAGTAGTAGAAGTAGTAGTAGTAGTAGTAGTGTCAGTACTAGTAGTAGTAGTAGTAGTAGTCGTAGTAGTAGTAGTAGTAGTAGTAGTAGTAGTACTAGTAGTAGTAGTAGTAAGAGTAATAGTTGTCGTAGTAATGGTAGTAGCAGCCGTCGAAATCGTAGAAGAGGTAAACGTAGCAGTAGTAGTAGTCGTAGTAGTAGTAGTAGTAGTAGTAGTAATAGTAGTAGTAGCAGTCGCCGAGGTCGTAGTGGTAGTTGAAGTAGTAGCGGCAGTAGTGGTGGTAGTAGTAGGAGTAATAGAAGTAATGGTGGTGGTACTAGTAGTAGTAGTCGGAAAACAGAGTCGCAGTAGTAGCAGTAGTAATAGTAGTAATAACTGTAGTAGGGGCAATGATAATGTAGTGATAGTAGTCATAATAGGGTAGCAGCAGTAGCAGTGGTGCTGGGCAAAGTAGTGATAATAGTAGCCGTCGTCGTGGTAGCAGTAGCAGTAGCAGTAGTAAAATAAAAAAGTGGCAGTACTAGAACCAGTAGTAGTAGTAGTAGCAGTAGCGGTACCAGTAGTAGCAGTAGTAGTAGCCGTCGTAGTAATAGTACGATGGTAGCGGTAGGAGAAGGAGTAGTAGTAGTAGTGGTAGTAGTAGTAGTAGTGGTAGTAGTGGGTGATATGGTAGTAGCAGGAGGAGTAATAGTAGTAGTCGTAGAAATAGTCGCAGCAATAGTCGCAGTCGTACGTGTAAGCCTAGTAGTAGCAATACATATAGTAGCCGTCGAAGTCGTAGTACATAGAAGAATTGTAACCGTAGTGATCGTCGCAGTAGTAGTAGTAGTAGTAATAATAGTAGTCGTCGTCATCGCCGTCGTGGTAGTCGTAGCCGGGGTAGGTGTAAAGTAGTCGTAGCAATAGAGCTGGTGGTAGTAATATTAGTAGTAGTAGTAGTCGTGAACATGGTCGTAGTACTAGCAATAGTAGTAGCCGTAGTACTGATATGACTCGCCGTAGCTATAGCAGTCGTAGTGGTAATAGTAGCAGTAGTAACAGCAGTGAAAGAAATATAAATCGTCATAGTAGTAGTCGTGGTCGCAGTCGTAGTAGTCGTCGTCGTCGTACAAGTAGTACTCGTACTAGTAGTAGTCGTAGTAGTAGTAATAATAATAATAGTCGTAGTGGTAGTAGTAGTAGTAGTAGTAGTAGTAGCAGTAGCAGCAGTAGCCGTAGTAGTAGTAGTAGTAGTAGTAGTATGACTAGTACGAGTATCAGTACTAGTAGTAGTAGTAGTAGTAGTAGTAGTAGCAGTACGAATAGTGGTAGTAGTAGTAGTAGTAGTCGTAAAAATAGTAGTAGTAGTAGTAGCAGCAGTACTAGAAGTAGTAGTGGTGGGTGGTTGTAGTAGTATTAGCAGTAGTAGTGGTATCAATAGTAGTAGGGCGAGAAATAGTAGTAGTAGTAGTAGTAGTAGTAGTAGCAGTAGTAGTCAAAGCAGTTCTAATAGTCGAAGTCGTAGTAGTGGTCGTTGAAGAAGTGGTAGCAGTACTCATAGTATCAGCCGTACTCGTCGCCGCAATCGCAGTGAACGTAATAGTAGTAGTAGTACTAGTGGTAGTAGTAGGAGTAGTAGTAGTAGTAGTAGTAGTAGAGGCAGTAGCACGATGAGTTCGAGTGGTAGTCGTCGTACAAGTAGTAGTAAGTGTAGCAAGTGTATTAGTAGCCGTCGTAGTCGTAGTAGTACCGCGGAGGTAGTAGCCGTAGCCGTAGCAGTGGTAGTAGTTGTAGTAGAAGTAGTAACGACTAGCAGAAGTAGTAGTAGTAGTAGCAGTAGTAGTCGTCGTAGTAGTAGTAGTGGTAGTACTAGTAGTAGTAGTCGTCGTAGTCGTAGTCGTAGTCGTAGTAGTAGTAGTAGTAGTAGTAGTAGTAAGAGTAATAGTTGCCGCAGTAATGGTAGTAGCAGCCGTCGTAATCGTAGTAGAGGTAAACGTAGCAGTAGTAGTAGTAGTAGCAGTCGCCGAGGTCGTAGTAGTAGTTGAAGTAGTAGCAGCAGTAGTGGTGGTAGTAGTAGGAGTAGTATAAATGATAGTGGTGGTAGTAGTAATAGTCGGATACTAGAGTCGCAATAGTAGCAGTAGTAGTCGTAGTACTAATTGTAGTAGGGGCAATGATAATGTAGTGATAATAGTCATAATAGGGTAGCAGCAGTAGTAGTGGTGCTAGGCAAAGTAATGATAATGGTAGCCGTCGTCGTGGTAGCAGTAGCAGCCGCAGTAGTAGAATAAAAAAGTGGCAGTACTAGAACCAGTAGTAGTAGCAGTAGTAGCAGTAGCGGTACCAGTAGTAGCAGTAGTAGTAGCCGTCGTAGTAATAGTACGATGGTAGCAGTAGGAGAAGTAGTAGTAGTAGTAGTAGTAGTAGTAGTAGTAGTAGTAGTAGTGGTAGTAGTAGTGGGTGATATAGTAGTAGCAGGAGAAGTAGTAGTAGTAGTCGTAGAAATAGTCGCAGCAATAGTCGCAGTCGTACGTGTAAGCCCAGTAGTAGCAATACCTACAATAGCCGTGTCGAAGTCGTAGTACATGGAAGAATTGTAACCAGAGTGATCGTCGCAGTAGTAGTAGTAGCAGTAGTAATAGTAGTAGTCGTCGTCGTCATCGCCGTCGTGGTAGTCGTAGCCGGAGTAGTAGTAAAGTAGTCGTAACAATAGAACTGGTGGTAGTACTATTAGTAGTAGTAGTAATAGTAGTAGTAGTAGTAGTCGTAAACATGGTCCTAGTAGTAGCAATAGTAGTAGCCGTAGTACTGATATGACTCGCCGTAGACATAGCAGTCGTAGTGGTAATAGTAGCAGTAGTAACAGTAGTGATAGCAATATAAGTAGTCATAGTAGTAGTCGTAGTCGCAGTCGTAGTAGTCGTCGTCGTCGTACAAGTAGTACTCGTACTAGTAGTAGTCGTAGTAGTACGAGTAGAAATAATAATAGTAGTCGTAGCAGTAGTGGTAGTAATAGTAGCAGTAGTAGTAGTAGTAGGAGAATTAGTACTAGTGCTAGTAGTAGTAGTAGTAGTAGTAGTAGTAGTAGAGTAGTAGTAGTAGAGTAGTAGTAGAGTAGTAGTAGTAGTAGTAGTAGCAGTAGTAGTAGTAGTGGTAGTGGTAGTGGTAGTGGTAGTGGTAGTGGTAGTAGTAGTAGTAGTAGTAGTAGTAGTAGTAGTAGTAGTAGTAGTAGTGGTAGTAGTAGTAATAGTAGTCGTCGTCGTCGCCGCCACCGTCGTTGTCGTGGCAGTGGTCGTAGCCATCGAAATACGAGGAGGAGGCGGAGGAAGGGGCGGAGCTTGTTCCCTGCCGAGAAGGCAAGAGGGAGGACCCAAAACTAAAGACCGATCACGGCGAACCCCCTCACACCTGTTGGGTCGGCATCATTTTAAAAGTGGGCCCGCCGGAGGAGGAGAGAGGCAAAAAGGGCAAGAGCGAGAGGGAGCAGGAGAAGGGAAGAGGGGAGATGGAGCGGACGGCAGATAGAGGACTCGCGCGCTCGGGCTCTCGGCAAGTTCAGCCTGGCCTCAACCCCCTGTCAATGCTGACCGCTGCCGCAGTACCGCCTCGAAACGAGACGCGAACGTATCCTCCTCCTCCTCCTCCTCCTCCTCCTCCTCCTCCACCTCTTCCTCCTCCTCCTCCTCCTCCTCTTCCTCCTCCTCCTCCTCCCGCCTTCTTCCCAACATGGCCTTGGGGCCTGAATCGAGGGACTTTGTGCACAGAAACCTGGGTGGATAGACCGCAGACGGCACGTACAGTGTTTCAAGACTCAGCTCTGTCGTAATCACGACTCCCTCCTGCGAAGGAAGAGGCTCAGGATCTTGCAGGCTGGAGGTGCGCGGCAGATTGGAGCTGTTCATCCGCCACCGTGCCTGCACGGGGTGGGCGTGTTAGAATGCGCGTCTGTTGTCTGGGAGGATTTCTATAATTTTCTAGGGCCCCCCCCCCTCCCCCTCCCCGCGCGCGTGGTTCGAAAATCGCCCCCTCTGGAATTCCCTTCTGGCGGTCTTTTCGGCCGACGCCAAAGGTAGCCTCCAAGACGGCTACCAAGACAGCCAAGACGACAGCAAAACGGCACGAGATGCACCAAGATAGCTCAAACAAGAGCCTCTGAAGACAGCCTCACGACGGCCCAAGAGGCCCCCAAGAGGGCCTCAACACGGCC